CAAGCCACTATCGTACATTTCTCGTTTGTGTAACTTAAATCTTCTGATCCAGAAGAATGCGATACGATCGCGGGGGCAGCAGGTTTACTGAACTGACGCCTCGGATTCATATTGGAACCCACCAACCTGGAGAGTCAAAGAAGTCAGAAGACTTCTGGTTTACATCGAGATATTAAGTGATTTTTGACTCTTATATGACGACCGAATGTCGCAGTAGTGGTGTCTTTTCGTTCTTCTTGACCTCCAACAACTTGACCTATTACAACTTCTGGCTACCAGACAATCTTGCCGGTTATTGGACTCCACTTGCCTTTCCTTTGGTCTCCGTTGAAAACGTTATCCATGTCATCTTTGAGACAGAATCTATTATCACGTTTGACTTCCTGATCGATTTTCAACAATTTAATGTATTAACGACATGACCATCACTCGAGTGCTGGTCAGATCTAACTGCCAGGGTTGTTCCATCTAAGTTATTCTTTAAAGTTCCAGCCGACAAAGTCAAGTTAACAATTTTCCCTGAGGATCTGCATCCCAAATTAGTTGTAACCAACGTCAGACGCAACTAATTTCGTGACGTCAGCAACAGCGGCCTTCCAGTACACTTCGTGTCCGATAGCCTAGCGTCTGGCTGACGTCAAGGCCGAATTTGTACACATGCTGCAACGTGCTATCAGCTGTTAGTCAGAAATGCCTTGAGCCTCACACCTGTATCTGGCGTCTCTGTAACAGCTGCCAGCTAGTAAACAACCTCCCCCATTCCGGACAACCTCCCGTTACCTGATTTCCAGAATTCGTCTGGTCCTTTACTAAACAAAAAGATTACCTATACAATCAATTGTTTCCGCCCCTCCCAGCAGATTATTGCCGTCGCAGAGAAGGCGCCAAAAACGGCAGAAACCCACCCTTGGACTCCTCCTCGACTCATGAAACATGCTCTTTGGCTTACGAGGCGAAACCAGGTATAACAGAGGTTTCTCACCACAGCACTGCAAAGACTTTTGCTACACATTTATACTGATTAAAAATACCCATTTAAGATTACCAGGAGTAATGTTAAGCAAAGGGAGCGCCCGACCTTGACGTCTGATCAGCCTCAGCAGTACGACATCGTCTAAAATTTGTCAAGGACAATGAGCTCGCGGGAGAGTTCGAAACATCGGACAAATAAAAAACTGGTCCCAGAGAACATTTTACCGTCTTCTATTCAGGTACCTGGGCCGCGCATATTCTCGGCCATGCAGAATACGATAGAGACAATTCCACCCGGTAACTTTTTGCTCTCTACGATATCTGTTCTTGTATTTTAACAATTTCTGCTGTAACTGGAATGTACAAACGTTCTGCTAACTACCACGAATACCTTCGGTCAATGGCATCAGTCACTGATCCAACTAGAGTAATTATACAATTCGATGTTTCCTCCCTCACACGTTCGTGGAGGACAGATCAGGGATAACTCCAGCAGTAAGAACACAGGGAAAGAAAGGTCCAGCAACTTCATGTAATGATAAAATAACTTCACAGTGAGCAAAAGGAAATTGTGCAATGAACGCGAAACATGATACTTTCTTGCGAAAACGTCGTTTCAGTAACAATAAAAGTACGAAAGGGACAAAAGTGAAATTAAATCAAGCGAACATCCTGGATATGCTCATGGTCAATTTCTGGCATCAGCAATCATGTTGAGACCGGTTTTTAGATATTTCACAAATGTGGCCATTGTATTAGTGATGATATCCACCACCTTTTCCATCTTCATGAGATACACTTAAAAATAAGCACATGTTTGAATCAAGTGAGGACCGTTAGAAATCAAGGAAAGCATATTTAATGAATATACGGGCGTATAGTACACACAAGTCGGGTTCTGGATCATCAAGCAAGCAATAGTGCGAGCGGTGTTAAAGGGCGTACGAAAAAAAGTACAGGCGAGCAACAAAGTAAAGGTAGATTAGGAGCGTTAGGAAAGATGCCGGCGTCGGACAATGAATTATTGCGTGGACGACTGCAAAAAGTCGGTCGACTACCGTATCTATCGTTACAGTCGACCGAGTCTGTGACCGTCCCTAGTGTCAGGGTCGTGAATGCGCTCGATGGTGGTCTAGTCTTTTGGGGAATGGTACAAGATAAAAATCTTGTTTCTCAAACTGTATGTAAACTATTAAAAAAGAATCCCTGCTGTTTAAACTTTAACTCGAATTGAGGTCAAATCTGAGGATGTGAGTAGCTATCACAAGAAAGTATCGCAATGGAGCAGTAAAGAAGCGGCATTTTTCGTTTCCACATCTCTAAATATTATTTCCTCAGAAGCGTTATCTTACCTCTGCAGGTTGCTAGGTCAAGTCCGGAATTCGGACGGAGGACTCTAATTGCCAGTAAAACTGGAGTGAAAGCAAACAAACCTGATGATGAGACGCGGACACGTACCAGTATTTCCATGACATAATAAAGCCTTGAACCCCGTCTTCCCCAAGATAACCAACAACAAAGTCTTCGGGTATATGAGACCAGGCGAGGATGTCTTCAACCGGGGTTTTTTACGTCCCTTGCTCCGAAAAAAGTCGCGTCACAACTTACCGCTATGGTGACTGCGTGCCTCCGAGATAGAAA